TTTCTTTTTTTTTTTCTTTTTCTTCTTTTAAATTGTCAAACAAAAAAAAAAAAAAAAAAGAAGTTTTGTTTGTCTGTTAGCCTACAGGGCTGTCACTCCCTGCAGGGACTGGACCCGGCCTGAGACTGATTGTCTACAACATTCCAAAGAAAAGGTAGATTTCTTTATATTCACGTTACACACCTGAACAGGGGGGTTGAGGGGTGTTAAAAGAGACAGAGAGAGAGAAAAAGAGAAAATATAACATGCATAAAATTCTCCCAGATGAACATTGTCACTCATATTGTCTTGTAATAGCTGCTCCGATGCCTCTTTAAAAACAAACTTTACATGAGTGTAATATACAAAACTGGACAAAAATGAGTAAAATGTATAATATATATTTATATATATATTTATTTATATTAATTTGTACAAGGGAGAAAGTGGAACCTTGGTCTTTCTTTTTTCTTTTTTTATCTCAGATTCTCCAGAGAAAGCATTACCGCCCCCCAAACACAACACAAAGTGGTGAGTAAATAACAAGCCTTCTGTTAAATCTCTGAACCATATCCAACCTCAGTCCCAATAAGGCAGCACTTACAATACGTACAACTGATGCTGTGGTAACTGTGACACGGAGCTGAAACTACATTTGAACACCTGCGTTAGGAATGAGTTGGACTTGAAAACCACGGAGCGTCTCAGTAGTGCAAAAACACCATTTTTGGACCAATGACAAGCGAGAATCCTGCTAAGAGGATCATAATGAAACCTCCTCAATTGTTCCAGCCCCAAAAAAAGATGGCAACCCACTCCAGTCACTAGCCCGATCCTGGTATCGGCGCACCACTAAATACTCCACATTAGGCAGCACGACAGTGAGACGAGACGAGCGAAACAGAGAGGACGTGCAACACGGTTAAGAGTGTTGTCATTTCTGTCAGTGCGCTGCTGGATAGCAGAGGTGAAGTCTCACACAAGCACACGTTTTTTTGTTTTTTTGACCGACACAAAGCGGAGCGTCCAACCTTGGTTTAAGGAAAAACTTGCCGCGTGAGAGGAAAAGCGAACGCCGAGCAGCTACGGAGCAAAGTGTTGCTGAAACGGTCGTGAGCAGGAATGTTCTGAGAGTTCGAGCTGAGGGTTTTTAACAGTTCGCCCGGTGTCAGCCGACAGCGCGGGCAGGAGGGGAGGGTGTCACCTGAAGAACATTAGCATAGTATTTATACTGAGGATTGTAAGTTAGAGAAAGACAAGAGAGAAGAATACATTACAAAGAAGTACAATTTTTAGTCATCATTTGGATCATGGGTATCCACTAAAGTCAAGTTCTTCTTTAAGAACCTGAGCAATTCGTTGATTTCAAATTAAACTACTAAAACTATCATTTTCTTGGTACATTCAGGGGACGTTACTTATTCTATCTCCAAATACTGATCTGATTGAGACAGTTTCTGATGGCCTTTTCACTCCAAGTAAATCCGATATAAAGTGCAAAATTAGATTGTATTTGCAAATTCCTGGAATAATTTGATTAATCTTCTACGTGTGTAAAAAAGTCATTTATACAGTAAACTTTTTTTTTTATAAAGGTGAAAAAAGGTTTAAAAAAAACCCTGGTTAACAAGGTTATTATTGTTAAACAGCAAAGGAGCAATCTTTACTGCAGAAAATATATACACGAGGCACCTCAAGTTTGGTATAAAGTATTCAGTTAATGGAAAAAAAAAAAAAAAAAGGTTTTTTTTTTTTTTCTTTTCCCAAGAATGAGATTAAAAGCTGAGAAAGGTCATCAGAGATCGACAGGAATAATCCCACTGTGGGGGCGTTTCTGTTGTTTTGTTGCCTATGAAATGAATGACTAAGTGTTGCTCCAGTGTTAATTCTACATATCCAAGTCAACGTGAGGAAATGCTTGTTTCAGTAAGGTGCATAGCTAACGGTTGCAATGTTTTCTTTTTTTTTTTCTTTTCTTTTTTTTTTTCTTCCTGTAAACGAGTGATAGCACTTCAGGCTAAAAAAGACCTCATTGGCAAAGTGGAGAGACGTCTCTAAACTGACCTAACTTTGGGACATCACAAAGATTGTTTGCTGATAGGCCACTTTAAAGGACAGACAGTGTCTATAGAAAGAAACGAGCCAGGAAGGACGACCATGCAAAAAACAACACTGAGCAGCAGCAGAACATCGCTGTGAGAGAAATCCAAATCAACAAAGGGCCGCTACATTATGTCTTGTCCAGTGATGATGAGGTTTGCATATGATATCCGTCAAACATCTTGAAGCTTTGGTCATTTACTACTGACAAATGCAAAAAAGGCTACATCAGTCAGGCAGTTAGAAAATAAAACAAAGCCCGCTCATATACACAACAACCAGGCAATGCTTCTCCATAAAACCAAGGCTCCACTCTCCCAGATCTGCTTAAACTTTTGACAACAGAGAAAATTAAATAATATGGCCTTTTTTTTAAAAAAAAAAAAAAAAAAAAAAAAAAAAAAAAAAATTAACCCGTACAAAAAGCCAGTCCACACTGCTTCTCTCTCAGTAAAATCACATTCAGCAGTCGCTAAACCATTCTCTGGCATAGTTATCTGAAACACCCACAGGTACTGTGCAGGGTCTAAAGAGTAAAAGAAGAAAAGAATCAAAAAGGACATCTTCGACTTTTCCATCTTAGAGAACACCAGATATACAGTATTAATCACTTACACACATACATACGCACTCACTGATAGTCATATACATACATACATCATCAGAAAAAATAAAAAAAGTAGAAAATCAAAACATAAAATAAAAACATGACGGAGGCGAGTAGTTATTTACCACAAACTCGGAGCACTACTTTTTTGTTGATTCTGAACAAATACATATTCACATTTCTCTGTTATATACATTATGTTAACATCTTGAAACAAATGTTATAAAAGAACCTAACCTGGTACCTGTTAATTGTAGTGATGAAGGAGGGACTGTCGTTTCCACTGAATGACTGTTGCATAACAAAAAAAATAAAAAATAAAAATCTTACATATGCATTGGATGTATTTGGCATGTAGTTGTTGTTGTTGTTGCAGGATAAGCTGACAGTTGCTGATGAGTTTCTGCATTTAACAGGGTTGTAGAGGAAACCACTTCCATAGGAATGCCTATTCCACGCAGAAAAGTGAAAGGAAGGGAGGGCGGGTGGAGGGGGGGGGGTGTCAATACTGTATGTGTAGAAATCATCAGAGCAGGTTACAAAAAGAAAACAGGAGGCCGACACTGACGGAAACCTTCCAAAAATACATTCTTTCACTTTGTGCAGCTTCTGCCTCTTCTCTGTATTTAAACTGACCAAACAGTGGCACAGGAGGGTCTGACTGATGATATTCTCACGGGAGGCCACAGCTGAGGGAACATTTCTCTGCTTTCTCATTTTCTGTTTCTGTTCTACCAGTTAAGTGCAAAATGGAGAAGAATTGAAGTGCTGGGGATCAAAGGCTTCACAGTTGGGAATCAAATAGTTTTTGTCGCTCCAATATATTTTTTTTCTTCTTGCATTTGTGGGGCGACGACTTGTTGAACAGATCCACAGTCGGGATCGGAGCAAATCAATTGAGGCCTGAAGCAGAGCAGGTTTCATACTGATACTAATGAATTACTGCCCTCTGCTGTTCAGCGCATGTTTTGCGATCCATAAGACAAGAGTACAAATCTCCCTTTGGAGGCAGAAAGGTCAAAGGAAGTTATTGATGTTGAACCACAGAGAAGTTAAAATGACCAAATACTTGATCAGCAGTTAGCTGTTCAGGTCATTTATTAAGCAAAAAGCCCACAAATGTGCTGCTTTTAGCCTCACTAGTGTGTTTTTGCTGCTTTTCTCTGTTTTATTTAATTGTAAATTTAGACTGCTGGAAAAAAATAATGTGAATTTTGATTTTGGTGATGATAAATTTTAACCATTTGCAAAAATTTTACAGACAAAACTGTCAATTGTTTTCTTTTCTCTGTCTGTTCCTAAGAGTCCTGTCTGCACTCCAACGTGTATTGATGCATCATTTTGAAACCAACAGTTCATGACTGTTCCTGGGCCACTGTTTGGATACACAGCGTATCAATCTGCACGTATCCAAACCCACACAAAGAGCATCACAGCTGAGCACAAAGTGGTTCTGACATCACACAACATTGGAGGTGGGTGGAATGTTGACCTTGCATACTATCCCTCTTGATCTGGGTAATGTTGCATACGCTGAAGTATCTCTGTAAAACCAGTACACAGGAAAAAGCCCTATTCTGTTGTTGACCTAATGTGAGCGATAAGTTAGGTAGTTCAAAGACTCATTTACAGGGGGGTGATGAAACGTCCTAACGTCTAAATGTGAGGTCTGCGGTGTATGCAAAACCCTCTCCACGGATTCCACTAGTCTCCGGAAGGAAGAGAAACAATGAACCAAGACCGAGGACTCACACAGGACTGGTTCAATCAGGTGACACCGGATGTTGTGCTGGGGTACAGACTTGGCAGATTTAAATCACTGAGGGCCTCGGTGGTTGTTACAAATCACTGGATGCTCCCCGATTAAAAAAATCCTGTGTAGAAAGGGCTTATGAAACCAGCATGATCTCAGTCCTTCCAGATGTTGTCTAGCATCCTACAATTTAAACCTCTGGGTGTCAGACTCATTTAGAATTTTTCATTTGCATCGAAACGTGCCTAATTCAGAGATCGAGTGTACATCTTTACAATAATTTAGTCATGTAAAGAATATTCAGAGGCAACGTCTCAGCAGCGGTTTCCTTCTAATTTTCTGGTGAGGTCCAAGTAGCACAACTTCTTGGCGAGGGAAAAGTGGAATTGTTTTTTCTTTTTCTTCAAAGAGAGGTCCGTTATCGCTGAGAGAGACAGTGTCTGACTGAGCAACAGTAGTCAACAGAAAACTGTGAGTGTATGTAGCCAGTGGAGTGAAGTCTTCGTCAGGGAACCAGAGGTGGAGGGAGAAGAGGGTTGAATCCCAAAAAAAATTATCCTCAATGGGAACAACACTGATCAATCAGGTTTGCAGGAGGTGAGGAGAAAATGAAAGGAAATGCTGTGTTTTTTTTTTGGTGACTCAACCCTTCCTGTTTTGATTCAAATTCATGACACCTTTAAATTAATTATCCATCACATCTTTGTTAGGAACTTCTATTACTAAAGCCTCTACTTAAATGTCATTATATAGGAACAATATCCAAAAGCACGTCGTTTGCTGTGACTGCGGCTACAATGTTGATGCGGCTCAGTACCGTTAGCATCGGCAGAGGTCGCGCAGTCTCAGCAAAGAACCCCACTTAAGGTATTATTATGCTCTTTTATACAATGGTTACAAACACATTTACTGTCTGAAAAGTTTTTTTTTGAAAGTATTGTACATACATAAGAATAAAAAAGAGGAGAAAGCAAGAAAAGATGGCTAACTAGCTCCCTGGTTACCACAAGAGAAAGCAAAGCAATCAAACCCATTTTTTTTTTCAGAGTGTGGCTGCATGTAGCGCTGGCTGGGACGCCAGCGGGAGCGAGATCTAGCTATTTTTAAAAAAAAAATCAATCGCTTAAAATTTCTTTTCACATTTTTAGAAGCTGGAATCCTTCTCCACTGCAACATGTAGCGGTATTACAATATTATGATGCCAAAAAAATAATCTCCATAAACCATTAGCTGACATTTTTAGAACACTTTTCAAAAAAAGGAAACTAAAAAAAAGAAAAACCTGGATCGAATCACATTATACATAGTTTTGCTGTTCTGAGTAATCAATTAATTACACTTTTTTTTTTTTTTTTTTTTTAAAAAGGAAAGCAGTTACAAGAGAAGAGTGAGCTCATCCCCAAGTCTTTGTCCTTCTGTACTGTACAATACTACCCGCCTGCATGGTGCACATGGCAAACAACACTGATAGGCCGAGAGATAGCATGAAAGATACACAGAGAGAGAGAGAGAGAGAGGGAGAGGGAAAGAGAGAGAGAGAAAGAGATAAAGAGAGAGAGGGAGAAAGAACCCAACAGGGCTCTGTATTCACAGCTGCTGAGGTGAGGGGTAAAATGTGACGGACAGACAGTTAAATAATCATAACAGTCTTTTTTATACTTTGAAAAAATAAAAATAAAACCTCCTCCCAGGGGGAGAAAGACACGTAAGTTCCAAACTGAGCAGCATCCCGTCTGTCTCCCATCCATCCATCCATCCATCCATCCATCAATCCATCCATCCATTCTGGCTGTTGTCAAAGCTTGTTCTGATGATCATGAAGATGATGATGATGACGGTGAGAGCAGAAGATTTTTAAACAAACAAAAAAAAAAAAACATTTCAACCAAAAAATAAAAATAACAGAAAACGTAATAGAATAATATGTAGAAGAAGAAGCAGAGCTTGGGAAAAACTCAAACTTCCACCAGGCACTGTAGCTGATAGAGAGAGACAGTCACAGAACCAGCTGATACTGAGCTTCTATCCCACAATGCCACAGAGGTCTGAAACCTTAACATTCCCACATCGCTGAGACAGGTAGAGGAAAACAAAAAAAACAAACAAAAATAAAAGCCAGAGGTGCTGTAGTGTGGGATACTCCCACACTTGAACGCTGAGCTCAGCTGTATGCTAGAACTCATGCTCCCAAGATGCACTGCTGCTGTGACGACCAGACAGAAACCGTCCGATCAGGAGAAAAAAAACAAAAACAAAAACACAAAAGGAGGCCGGCCCTGATTTGACAGTGACGACAACTTGGCAAATCTACATTTATGTTGCAGTTGTTTTCTTGGGTCAGGAAGCAGGAAGTAGGTCACCAAGGAATGAGCAGCAAGACAACACTGCCTTTAATAGGCTGAGGCAGACAGACAGGTTGTCAGACAGATTAGACAGGCAGGTTTAAATACACTGCTGCTCCTTCTGACTTGAGTCTTTTCTAAAAGTACTGGGCGGTAAAACAACCAGCCCCGGATCCCCCTGCACAGAAGTGGTTAGGCTGTGTAACTCCACCGACAGCCAGACCTCTCTGAGCCTACTCTGTGGCCGTCCAAACATCCATTCTTCCATCCATCCATCCAACCATCCATCCAAAAGGTGAGACAGAGACAGCAATGGGTCTGGTGCACCGACCTCCGAGGAGGAGGCGTAGAAGTGAGAAGTAGAGGGAGTAGGAGAGCTGAGGGAGTGGGGGTGTCACTCGGTGAGCAGCTGCTGGAGGAGGCTCTTCTGCTGGGCCTGGTTGTTCTGGGAGCTCTGCGGTCCGGGGCCCTTCTGGGAGGCCGCAGCTCCGATGGAGCCCTGGTTCAGGTAAGAGTCACTGCCAACAAGGTTCACTGTGCACTGGACGTCCGCAAACACCTGAACCTGTTGCACCTACAGAAGCACAAGAACAATGATACAGGGACACTGCCTACAGGATGTTACAGTATACTTCTATTATCATCAGCAAGTCCCATGAAGTTGCTAAAACCCACTATGTGTTGGTCTCACTCCTCTCCTGTGTACAGCGCTGAGCTGGTACACTCATCAGTCACAACACTACAACCACCTGCCAAACACCGTGTAGGTCCAAGAAGTTGGCAGTGGATCAGTGTCTTTAAAAATGGCTCACAAATGTGACCCATTTGCACAAAATCAGTCGCATTGTGCCTTGGGCTAGTATGCGTAAACAAAAGCGGCACGTTGCTACCACATGATGCAAATCACGGGACAGGATTGGCTGGCAATGACGTATTGCTTGCAGAGCCTGCACACAAGTGATTTCCGCGGCTTCTTTCTGGTGTTACTGCTCATGCACACTGATGGTATTTGACAGCGATAATATTATATATTACCTACATGTAGAAAACAACTAAATGGATCGATCTAAGTAATAAACCCAAAATCTATATTTTATCATGTGTTGACGTAATTCAGGCTGTATCTCGGATATAGGCTGAGGTGCAATGCAACTGATTTTGTGCAGATGGGTCACAAATGGATAGTTACATGTTTTAAAAAGCATCAGTACCTTCCTGTGACATTAGGGAAACATATTTTAGTTGATGTTTCTTAAATAGGAGAACATAACACATTTGCTGGGCACTACCTTCACCTGTGGGTTAACACATAAACTCACTGAGCACTTCAATAGCACACCTGTGGTATCTAATGCAGTCCAATACAGCAGCTCTGCAGTAAATTAGATGTAATTATCTTAATCATTTAGTGTCAGATGTAATTATTTCAACAAGATAATTAAAAGCAAATCAGGTAAAACTCACATTTAAAAATTATACTGTATTCAACGGCACAGTGGCCAGTGTTTGCTATCCACATTACAGATGACGAGTTGTTTTTCTTTTTTTCTACTAATCAAATTCAACACAGACAAGAAACACGGTAAGCTCCAGTGGCTGGGTGGTTTAGTGGATGGTAATACAGGACATCAAACCATCAGGAGTGGCAGGTTAGAAGTCACTCACCTGCTGGTCACTGCACACTGAACCGACGTTACTGAGGTTACTGTTGCTTATACCAACTGGCTGCCCCATGGGAGGTAATGAGGTGACGCCTCCCGAGCCTCCAGCCATGGAGACGGTGATGCTCATGTTGTTGTAAACCCCCTGCTGGCCGAATGCCTGCCCCGTACTCTGCCCTGACTGACTGAACAGGCTGTGGCAAAGACAGACAATCACAAATGGCACTTGAAACTCATTTAAACTTTGATTTATATACACACATGTAACAGAAATCATCAATAATTACTGAGCCAAAAGGAATGACAAATCATTTTTACTTGATAAAACATTTGCAAAAGCACCTTTTTCTTATAAACTGCAAACACTTTTCTAACCTGCCCATGCCTGTCTGTTGCCAGCTCTTCATGTCTGGTGACTGGTAGCCAGGAGGTGGGGCCTGCTGAAGCAGAGGACTCTGGGAGGTGGAGTTCTGAGGTGACAACAACGGGCTGGTGGGGCTCATTTCAGGAGGGAAAGATGGGTCTTGTTGGACCACGGCTGTGACAGAAAGCATAAATCAGTGTGACCATTGAGTGTGTAAATCATGCACCTTAGGCTTGTCAGAGGCAAGAGAGAGCTTGCGTCCTTAAGTCCTCACATGTCAGCAGGTGGGAAATCTAACATGCTTGGTCGTTTTCAATTTAAAAAATATGGAAAGATAAGATGCATCCTTTACTGCAGAGGGAAATTTTTGCAAGAAGATCTACCAGCCTCAACAGTATGTGTTTGCAATTACTGGATACTGGAAATCTGTTTACAGAGTAACAAAACTACAACTTTAATTACAAGAAACGGTGCTGGATTGTTAATTAGGGACTCACCAGACCCTCCAAACTGCTGAAACAGGCCTTGCTGCAATGAGGAGTTCACGGTGCTGTTGAACTGGCCCTGCACGCCGCTCATCAGCGTCTGGTTATTCAGGGGAACTCTGCCGGACAGTTTGTTATCCAGAGGGCCCCCGGACATGGGGCTGAAGTGACTTGGTGAGGTAGGGGGGTTTCCCGTCATTGGGGTATACCCTGGTGGGAAGTTGAACTGCTGCTGTTGCTGTTGCTGCTGCTGCTGCTGCGGCGTTGTGGGGGCAGCTTTTGGAGCCCTGGCAGTTCCAACGGGCCCCACAGCTCCAGTCGGAGCGCCTGCCATGTTCTGTCTCATCAGCATGACCTTCTGCTGGAAAAGCTGGCGCTGGCGGTGTTGGATGCTATAGAGTTCCCTCTGACGCTGGGCCAGCATCTGGGCATTCAGTGGAGGCTGCTGAGAGGGAGGACAGAGTAGAGCATGTTACAGAGAGCATAGTCCCTGTTTTCAAAGCAAATATACAATCCAGTATATAATAAATGACAGTCTTTTGTTATTAATACAGAGAGCCGACTTGTACGGAGTATCTGCAGGCTTTAGGAAAGACACATTTACAGTAGACAGACATAACGCTATCTGAAGGTCAATGTAAAAGCAACTTAAGAACTACAGTAAAGAGCAAAGACTAAGCTTATAATCTGGTTTAATATAGTGTGGCAGTCATGTCTAATTTTCTTTGTATCAAGTGTACCTTCATTCTATGATTCCTTGTAGACACAAATAGGACAATACAAAACAAAATCTTTACATTAAAAAGAAACAGAAAACACTACTTAAAGACTCCTGTACTGTTGCTCAATTGTCTTTAAATTCCTCTACTTTTACATTTGAATCAATTCATTTTACATTAGTCATCCTACTTAAAGCTGCAACCTGATTATGTGGCCACTTGGAGGCAGAAGAAACAAGCTGTGAACTGACAGACTGTATCATCCCAGCTTTTTTAAGTTGATAGGGCTAACTTATATCGACTCATTTAGCTTTTACATTACTACTATTTGGTTCTGTCCATCCAACAAATCAGGGCTTTGTTTTGGTCTCACTGACTCCTGAAGGAAGCATTCTTCTTTTGTTAAACTGTCTAAATGCTTCACAGTGTTCGCCAGCTAATCATAATCTTACAGGGGTTTCGCTCAAAATAGCCGCCTGCTGCTGTTGCTGATGACACTGATGAGAGCGGTGCTAATCAATGGAAATATTAAAAGTCGTGGGCAGTAAAAACAAAATACAATAAACATGTCGAAACCTCCGTTAATAGGTCTTGTCTGTCTTCTGCTCATATGCGCAGGTATAAAATATTGATTATAGCAGCTTTAAGTGATATTTAAGCAAAGTAGTTGAATTCATGTAAACAAATCCTTTTGCTAGTCTTTCAGGCTCTGTACAAAAGCAGCAGTGGGTGGTGAGCAGAGTTGCATTTGCTGCCACAATGACTCACTTGTGAGGGCATTTGAGGTTGCTGAACCCCCTGACGAATGCCTATGTTCACATGCTGGGCTCCTCCTGGAAATGGATTCATGCCTGCCAGCCTGTTCTGGAGCTGAGTCCGAGGGACAGAGAGAGAGAGAAATTAAATGAGCAGAAGTCAGGCAGGTGTTGAAGGATGAGAGCCGAGAGATGATAACAGAGTGAAGTGAAGGCAGAATTTAATAAGAGAATAAATTAGATCATTGACAAAAGTGGTATTACTGGGGGATAGAGAAGAAGAGGAGAGTGACAAGAAGGGAGATGAGAGTAATATTAGTGATGAGGGAGGAGAGGGAAGCAGAGAGTTCTTTTAAGAGCACTTTAATCAATATTGGCCTAATGAAATCAGAAGATTCATCATGATGTAGTACGATTTGGGCTAATAGTGAGCGCCAAAAGTCAATACTATATGAAAGAGCTCCAAGTGTTCCTTTCTTTCTCTTGTTATGGATATTGTATTGCTGTCGTGTTTGCAGCACTTAAACTGTGTGAATAAATTACACGTAAAATGTTTTCTCAACACACTGTGCAGTACTGACTGTACACAATAAACACCCTGGGCCAATAGCAGCAGTTGTTTACTGGGTTGTAAAAGCATCACAAGCAGCAACATCTTCCTTTCTAAATGTAACATAGTGATAATGTATTCAAACACACATCAGACAGGTTAAAATCTTCTCACCTGCTGTGGGCCCTGCAGTCTCTGCTGGAGCTGCAGGCGCAGTTGGTTGGGTGGCAGCCTGAGCTGAGTGCCCACCCCCTGTGGTCTGGTCATGCCTGGCCTCAGGCCCAAGCCTGTTGTCCCACCGGGGAAAGCCCCTCGAGGAGCTCCAAACCCCAGACCCTGCGGCCCCACCGTGGCCAGCTCTGGAGGAAACTGAGCTTGTGGAGCTGGTGTAAATTGGGAAGGGTAGGTGGGAAGTTTAGGGTCCATGGAAACTGGGGTGGCAGTGGGTTGCTGGGGTGGGAAAGTTTGAGGCAAAGGGTCGAAGCAGCCACCCTGAAAAGAGGGGCACAAAAACATATGGCAGAAAGACGTGTTTTTTAGTCAAAACAGTGCACAGTTGTGCCATTTGAGCACAATCAATCAAAAAGATCTTGTTCTTGAAATCTGAATTCTGTCCATTTAAATGTCTCCAAAAGACTCCTCAACTGTCCTCCCACTCCCTGACAACGCTCTAAAATAAAGAATGAATAAGTGCAGTAGAACTGGAGTAAAGTTGGGTAAGTTACTGGCAAAGTGAAACACCTCTTGTTTTACTTGAAAGCAACCCAGCAGATTTTTTTTTTGCCAAATTCAGCTTGATGGATGGAACAAAAGCCAGCCACAACTGCCAACACTTCAACTGAGCAACTGCTTTGTTTGTTTTGATTAATTGTAGCAACACTGGTCAATTAATGATGATTCACTGATTTTCAAGTGTAAGTGAATGTAAGTGATGTAGAGCGTTTCCTACCAACACTGTTACTTATGTTCACTCCTGAAACCTGTGCCCATCCTCTGCCCAGCTCTTTCCTTACCTGTACTAGTTTGTCAATACCCAGGGCCTTGTCCAGCTCAGCCAGTTCGCTCTCATCGGTCCCACTGAGGAAGGAGACGAGCTGCTCCAGCAGAGCCTTCTCATCGTTTCGGCCTTCAGGTGTGGTCGGAGGGCCAAGCACTTCATCCAGCGTACAGGGTACACACTGCCTGCTCAAAAAGAGAAACACAGGCTCTTCCACAATTCTACACTGGGGAAATTACAGTTAGGAGAAGTTTGCCTGATTAGTCATACTTACTCTTGTGGTGATGCCAGAGGAGCCTGTAAAGGCGTTCCAAGACCATCAAAAGACAAGGTGTCAGACAGAGCCAGAGCCTGGAACTGGGAGTCTCCCACATCCATCTTGGTTAGGCCTGAAAAAGAAATTAGCACAGTTTTATTTCCTGACAAAAAAAAAAAAGTAACTCAGAATGCTTACTTACTAAGTAGCAAGATATTTACACAGTTCATGTACAGTACATAGCAGCTTGCAATATGTAACCAGTAACTAATCAGCCTAAAACCCTTTATTGATGCAATTGATTGGTGAAATTGTCTTTTTGCTGTGATGAACTGCTCTGTTCTGAAGTGTCGTGCAAAGCTTTATCACTTGGGAGGTTGTGTATGTAACAGAACACACGGTGACCACACCCAACAGCAGGTCACATGTGTGGAAGAGTTGAACCTTTCAACCTATAGCGGTCACTCCAACAATACTTTACTGCTACAGAATATTTAGTGTCAAGTTATGCTTCAAAGCTCCACAGGCATTTTTGCCCCAGATCCTTCCTGCTATCATTTTACGGGACAGACTTACGCTCAGACCAAACAGGTTCCCACAGTTGTCACGTTTCTAGTACATTCTAAATGACAAGTTGTGAATGTAGAATAAACTGTTGACTGTATTATGCTACTGTGCGTACCAGTGCTTGAACTGAATGGGTTGATAACTTCTGCCTCTGGAAATGGACTGCTGTCTTTGGGGGTCTGGAAGGGGTCTCCTTGTCCCTGGCCCTGTTGTTGGCTTGGAGTGGCGGGATTGCAAAAATCGAATGATGACTGGCTTTGGAGGCTGCAGCCAGAGGGTGGGCCGCCATCACTGAGCCCTGCAAAGCCAACACAAGAACATGGAAGATAAGGAAAAACAAATATGTAATAATAACAATATTAACACAATCCTATAATGTATGCTATTGGCAAAGAAGTAAACAGAGTAAGAGTGTTTTTGATGCCTCCTGCTAGCCACTAGAGGGCATAAAACATAACAAAGTTTAGGTAAACGAATAAACTAATTAAGAGTTTTCTGGATCATACTAGTACAACTACGCCTAACAATAATAAAACTAATAGCAGAATAGAATTTTTTAAAATCCAATAAAAATAATTAGAAATTCAAAGGTAAACACCATTTTCATTCCAACAATTTGCAAAATTTTGTTTAATATAAACACAGAAGAAAAAGATTGAGTTTGTAACTAAAATGTGTGATTTCAATTGAATATTTGCATTCCCCTCCCTCCTTGCTAAGTTGAAACTGTACCTCTGTTAGGAGTGCCAGGAGGCTCTCTCTTCACATTTACATTGCGGGGAGTGCTGGCCTCACCGGGCTGGAGCTGAGTGGGTGACTGCAGTTTGAGTTGGGGGGAAGGGGAGTGAAGCTGAGGCGATGGGGACTGCAACTGGGGAAGGGACTGGGACAGGGGAGACTGGAGTTGAGGCACAGGACTCTGGAGCTGCGCTGGGGGCTGGGAGGCTGGAGACTGGAGTTGGGGGCCTCCTCCAGGGGTTGCTGAATTCTCGCTGCCCTGTTTGGCCCCACTCGGGCCTCTCAGGCCAGGCAGCAGCTGGGTGAGAGGCTCCATGTCAACAGGTCCACCAGACATCTACAGGCAGGAAGTGGATAGTGAAGCAGAAAGAAATGAAAAAATGATTGAGATTAACAGTGCAATAGCGCAAAAAAGCAATGAATTAAGAAATAACGGGTGGGAGAAAAGGGGGGCAGGCGATCAGCGTAAGAGAGATGGGGAGAGACAAAAGGTCAAAGGCCAATGGGCTTCAAAGGCTGCAGCTGGTAGCTGAGCCTACAGTGGAGACAAAGTCCAAGAAAATAAACATTCAACTTGGTTTACAACGGCTGTCAGACAACTGCCAATGTAGGATCAAAGCTCAACACCGGCAAATTCCAAAGCTTAGTTGTGAAGTATTCTTTCTGACACTTCTCCTATGTAAATGTGAAGGTGGCTGACATGCATGAGTGACAGTGTGCCTCCTTCAGGGAGGACATACGTTATGATTACTGGGTCATTACAGTTATGATTTGGCTGTCATGACTGTCTGACCGGACCAAGCTGGACAGAGTTCAGCACAGTTTAGGCCAGTGGCTGTTGACAGATGAAGCATAGACATATAACCTATCATGCTGCATTAAGGTTTTACAAAGTGACGCAGGTTTTGTGTGTTATCTTATAATACTTAACAGTTTATTGGGTATAGGGACAATAAATAAACTTAAGATCTGCTTCTCACCGGTTTGCAATCTTGTTTTAATCCTAGAAAAGATATATGATAATGCTCTACTTCAGAGCCGTTACCCCTTTGTAGTTTTTGTTTTCTAAAAGTAGCTGAGCTAGCTGCTCTGGAGAACCAACAATAAGGCTTTGAAACTCGTGTCAGCAGTGACCAGCCCGACTCTACACTCAATTAGCACTTGGATCTCTGCAAACCAAGGTAAGCTAAAAGTGATCCTGAAACCAAGCCGGTAGTGAGAGCTGTGACAAGAACTGCCACGTCTCAGTGCATTAAGTAAAAAATGTTAAAACTAATTGAATGATGCAGAGAAATATCTAAGCTGCTTTCCACTGCAGGGACTTCCAAGTGGGCTGCAGGGTGGCGCAGTTGGTAGCACTGTTGCCTCGCAACAAGAAGGTTGCCGGTTCGTGGGGGCACCGGAATCTTTCTTCGTGGAGTTTGCATGTTCTCCCTGTGCAGTGTGGGTTCTCTCCGGGTTCTCCGGCTTCCTCCCACACAGTCCAAAAACATGTTGAGGTTAATTGGTGATTCTAAATTGTCCGTAGGTGTGAATGTGAGTGTGCTTGGTTGTCTGTCTCTAAGTGTGGCCCTGCGACAGACTGGCGACCTGTCCAGGGTGTCCCCTGCCTTCGCCCTAAGTCGGCTGGGATAGGCTCCAGCCTCCCCGCGACCCTAATGAGGATTAAGCGGTGTATAGAAAATGGATGGATCTCTGCAAACCAAGGTAAGCTAAAAGTGATCCTGAAACCAAGCAGGTAGTGAGAGCTGTGACAAGAACTGCCACGTCTCAATGCATGAAGTAAAAAATGTTAAAACTAATTGAATGATACAGAGAAATATCTAAGCTGTTTTCCACTGCAGGAACTTCCAAGCTGTGTTTGGGTGCCCTAACCCTTTGTACGTGTTCCGAACCCATAGAACCTCTTCCGTGGCTCTTGTTGCGGGGTGAACAAAACAGATACCTACTTCAGGATAGAAACTTCTGGGCGTCCCTGAAATAACTGCTGCGTGAGCCTTAACACTGGTTAAAGTCCGAGAAGACAACAAGAGCCATTTGCTGCCCTCTCAATGTCAGCAATCTTCTCTCAAACATCTCCAGCAACAACATAAAATTAATCATATAGAATAACATAAGCCCCTATTGTTCAATTTCCTACTTGTTCATCAAAATATAGAACTGCTATTTGTAGTTTTGCACACTCTCAGTTAATGTCTTGTTCAATGTTCTCGTCTCCAACACTGCAATGAAAGGAGTGGAAAACTGAAAGGCTGATGGGCCGATTAAAGGGCTGTTCCCCTGTAAATGTAGGCGCCACCATGTGCCTGAACCAAGTTCCTGCAATGGAAAGCCACCTCATGCTTTAGTTTTGGTATTTCAGCTGGAATCCTGGTGTTAAGGCTTTGCTGTTTTGCTCTCCTACAATCTCATCTTACCAACCACCCCAACACCTACACAACAATGGTGGCGTGCAGTTTTTTTGGGCCAGTTTGGGAAACTAAGACTCATCTTAGCATCAACAACTGTACCGTAGAGTCTCTGCTGTCCTTGCGGCTGTCTCTGCGGTTCTCTCCGACAGGACTTGATTTGGGGCTGATGCAAGCAGAGCTGCTGGAAACTCCTGGAAGTTTGGTGGCACCTCCTGCTGCAACAGTTGAGCCTGTACAGGCCACGCCCTCCCCGCTGGCTCTCTTCTCTACCTTTACTCTGACTGTCTGAAGGCTCAGAGCAGATGGAGGTGGCAGGTCTCCCAAATCCTTCAAACACAAATCAGGTGTCAGTCAGCATTGACATTGAGTCAAGACGTCAAATGGTATTTATGTGACAGATTCCAAAGTCATTTAGCCGGGATGTCCATAAGTAGTACATAATGGATTATTTAAATAACATCTAAACTATCAACATTTACATTAGCACTGTTTATTGATCACCTTTTGCCCATTTTTTTAAATATTAAAAATAAACCCTGCTGATTTTTTAAAAATTAAATCAGAAAAGTCAAAGTTTCTGTCTTGTCAATACAAGTCTAAGACAAGACAGAAACTTGTATGTGAGGCTGTAATATAATTAGTGGGGATAAATTGGTGAAGACAATTATAACAGTCACCTTTTCGTCTGTATCAAGGAGAAAGCGGAGTAACTGGTGGTCCTGTGGCTCTCTGGAGCTGGACTTAGAAGGTGCTGTACTCAGTGCTGGACTGGCGGGCGGCTCCTTCTTGATCTCCACTTCGTTTTTGTTTATTCCTTCCTCAGTGGTGGTGGAGGCATCATTGGGACTAGTGTCCTGGAGCAGCCGGTGCAGGATCTTATGTCTTTCTGTCAGACTACTGTGGGAGGCAGGGCACTGAGGGGCAGGAGAAGGGTTCGGAGGATGAGGTGAAGAGGTGCTGTTGTTGTTAGATTCAACTGCTGTCCCATTGCTATCCAGGAGCTGATTGAGTCTGGGATTTCCCAGCTGTGAGGCAGAAGGAAGGGGGGCTTTAACAGAGTCCTCTCCCCCTTCTTCCCCTCCCTCTGGGGCTTTTGCTGATGGAGGCCGAGTAGAGGAGCTGGTGGGCGTACTGGCTTGTCTCTGAAGGACAGGAGAGGACAAGGGGAAAGACCCTGTTGATCCACCGCTTGCGCCACTATTACTATCACCACCAGACTGCTGCCTGTTGAGGCTGCCTCCACTGCTTAGAGCCCCAGATGGGGAATGGAGGCCTGGTGTGGAGGGAGAGAAGGGGTTCCCCGGGACTCGAGGACTTCCCCCTAACCCAGGACTAGCCCGTGGCATCCTGGGTGACATAAAAGAGGTAGGGGTGGCTGTGAGTGGGCTGCTTAAAGGAGAGGGGCTGTTGACCTGCTGGGGACAGTTCGTCCGATTGGGCGTCAGGTAGCCTGTGGGTGTGGCTAGGTTATGTCCATGGGAGGAGGCATTGCTGTTGTTGGTGTGAAGGCCCGGGGTGGCGAGGCCTGAGCCTTGGGTTGAGTTGCTGCCGGGAGGAAGAGAAGGGGAGCGGGAGGGAGTTTGGGCAATACTGCCGAGGGTCGGTGGAAGGCTGGGGTTAGTGTTTTCCTGAGAGCTAGCAGTGTTGTGTTCCCTGGAAGAAAGAAGGAAATTAAAAGAGAACTGTAACCTGAGAAACCCGTGGAGTAGAGCAAAAAGAAGCATAGTGTCAGGCACAGATGAGTGTGTGTTTATAAAAATACAACTCTTTATCTGTTTACATGCACATTATTATCCCAATCTTGAAGCTTATCCTGGATTTACAAGCAGCGTAGAGAAACCTGGTCATTCAGCTCTAAGTTCAGGTGTCCGACTCTTTCACACGAAGAAAAACTGTTTTTTCAGCACCAACCGAGGAAGCCCAAGAGTTGAGGTTGATTTCAAGCTTCTTGCATTGTGATGTATCTAAAATTCCTTCCTCTAATCAATTGAAAACTATAGAAAAACCTGATATTGATAGTTGTTGACAGTCTTATGCTTAAGTGCACGCACAAACACGACAAGAGGAAGATTAGAAACCTGGAAAAGGACTTTAGGTGCGAAAGATTCTATTTTCTGTAAGAGTACTCAGAAAAACATATCCAAATCCAAGAACTATGAGTGTGTTTACTGGGCAGCTTTATGTGACATGTGGCAGGTAAACAAGAACATATTCACTGACAAACTAGTACACTACCTTGCAACAAAATAGTTCTTCACAGTCAGCTCCAAAATGGATCAGTAGTGTGCATTCTCGTGTGTGTGTGTGTGTGTGTGTGTGTGCGTGTGTGTGTGTCCGTCCATCACGGTACCTGTCAATAGTGTGAATGCCCATAATGAAGGGCTGTACGTCAGGGTTGGGGGGGCAGCAGAACTTGCAGCGGGTCTGAGCGCTGAGTGGGGTGCCATCACTTAATGTGAAATTGTAGAGCGGGCTGATAGCGGTGCCATGGGTCATCACTGTTGACAAAAAGCAGCAGATGCGTTAAGACACACGTGCACGAATGCACACAAGCAGAGAGAGAGTAAGAGGCAAACACAGGGTTTAGACTTTGGCATCATCTGCTGTTTGTTTAAACCTCTTCCATTTCCGATCTGTATCCAGGCTTAAAGAGCGCTGACTCCCCCTAAGGCCTACAAGATACTTTACATCAATCTATTGCGGTAGCTACATGATGATCGATGAGTGTTGGGATAATTCGGCCGGTCTTTCCTTCATTCCATTATCATTTGATACCCAAGGTAATAATGTTAGCTCACATTCATATTGTTTAAAATTGAATTAGACTTTTTAACACCCCTCCCTCTGTTGGCATTTACAATCGTGCATACATAGTACATGATCTCTGCATGTGTTCACAACTATGTTAGTTAGAAAGGTTTTTAAAATTTAGCATTCAGTTCAGCCTATTATAACGCTACTGACGTCGCGCAGAAACTCCAGTAACCATGACAAAGCTGACAGAGAAGGTGTCAATGATTTCTGGGAGTGGAGCTGAACAATCAATTGTGGCTACTCACCCTCATGCAGCAGCTTCTTGGCGTGGGAGGGCTCTTTGTCCTGCGGCTGAAAGAATGCGTAGATGCACTTCCTGACCAGGTCCTCCCAGCCAGGCCGGCCTGTCGCTCGCAAAGCACTAGTTTCTATGGAGATGATCTTCCCTGGATTACAGCACCACACACACACACACACATACAACACACACACACACACACAAACAAACACAATAGATCAGCCTGCACTGATTTCAACAACTGCAGTTGCCTCCACACATTCATGGTTCACACTGTCACGCTTGAGAAAAATTAAACCTTTTTGGAACACTTTCTATAAGTCTATTCCTGCTTTTCTGGCTGTAATTTATCAGTCAACTTGGATATAAATGTATCATGTCTCTAATAACAACATCAATGTGTAAAGCCCGCAATGTAACTCATCCATTTCTATGACTTAACCAATGTGGACTACCCCTCTAAAAATCCCACCATATCATGACAATACAGTGACTTCTGGGAATCCTGACTACTCTATAATCCCAGTGTGTGTTTTACCTGTCGGGTCTTGCTTCGTGATAAAAGACTCAGTGCTGACAGGCTGGATGCGTGGCATCCGACAGGCAATACAGATCAGGCAGCTCTGCAGGTCTAAATAAACAGAGGAAACAAGTGATGAGAATTGTGTGCGTGTTTGCCAACAAAGGAACAGCTAAAAAGAAAAGCTCTAGATTTAGGGTAAATAATTATGCAGATCATTGTGTTATAAGGGTTTTGGTTGAAATTAATTTGCATTTTCCTGAAGTACATGTTGAAAGAAATCCACAATAAGCTGCAGACATTCAAAAATCTGACCATCATTTCTATAAAAATGTCAGAGCTTGATAATCTGTCCACAGAGCTGTCAATCATATCTGTGAAAAAAAAAAAACAATAGAAGCTGAGACTGAAATCCTGCAAACTTTCTTTCAAAGAAGCAGGATCTGCTGAAAAAAAACCCCTCATAGACAGGAAGAGTGCACAACAATCCACAAGGCCAGCTCTTATCAAAACGACTAAAAGCAGGCAGAGCTCAGCAGCCTAGTAAGTCTGCAATGCAGGAACTATATCACACAATTCATCAAGGCCACTGCAGCAAAAGAATGTGCTTCAACCATCTGGTGACTGTCAGTGAAAAGTTGTGAAAAGGGTAACATATGAGCCGTGTTTAATACTATTTAAAACTTTCGATCATGAGTTCCATGAAAAAATATGGGATCGAAAAACAATTTATCTATCACCTTTTGTGTGTGCCAAAGCAATTACTTTCTTAAATTGGATCCATTCCTGACATAGCACACAAATGCAATACAGAGGAAAAATAGAAGAAATGTTTCCTTGATTTGATAGTTTTGATAGAGAGGCTGCTCATGGGGGTTGCACTTGTTAAGATTAGTTATAAATACCAAAAAATAAAAGCACCATTTGGAAAGACTGTGGAGAACACTGTGTTTGAAAGTTCTTTACCACACATAAGAAGCTGATACTTAAATATGACTAAACATTTCAATTCAAAAGAGGCTGTCGTTTTAAAGTCAGTCTCAACCTATGCAATCTACACACCGCTGTTTCAGTTTCTGGTTATTCTGTGCAGAGTGCTAAGAACAACAATTAGACCAAATGCTGAATACTTCAAAAAGACTATCAGGGAATCTGATAAGAAGGATCCATGCATGATCTTCACAACTCAGCGCTGTTAGAACGGTAACATTTCTAATCAGAATGATGAAAAATATTATGGAAAAGGACAAGACGGATGAACATGTTAAATATAGTATCACGATCCTCTAGACTTGGAAACCAACACCAGCCACAATAGTTAGAGCAATAGCTACACAAGATAGGAATGATATCTGTCAGCGCAATTAAATTAACTATACATTGCAATTTTGCAAACAACAGTGAAGAGAGTTGTGCTAAGTTTACTCTTACAGGAGTCTACTTTAGAATAAAACGATTCCCCAAAACAAAACAATATAAAAATGTGTCTTTGCCTAAGTTCAGTCCCACACATATCAACAATGGTGTACAGTGCGAGCATTGACACAATTTAATATATATTTAGCAGTTATAGCAAAGTCAGTTCAAACCATGAACACTGGAAACCATCCCCAGTAGAGTGATTATCCTCACTATTTATATTCCTTTGAAACTGTACAATCTATGTTTTAGGAAATGCCTCCAGAATGTGTGCACTCATTGTGTGTTTGCATGTACCTTCTCCCTCCTCCTGCATGGCCCGTGGCTGGGACACGGTGAAACACTGCATGATCTCATACTGCTGTCGAGCCTCCATATTCTCTGAATCCACCTCGTCCGGAGGCCTCTTCAGCATGCGACAGTTAAACGTGTGGCTGTTCCTGCGGCCAGGTTCCTGCGGCCATGGGACACCGTTTACTAGACAAACAGAGAAACAAGTGGAGAAACTACAATCAGAATCTTGTTCAGAAGGTGCTTTGCTTCCACTGTGTCACTGTAAAGTCTCCTCAGGGGATACTTACTAAGCCTGTGGCTAATTAACATTACGGGTTCCACATTTTTTTAATTTAGAAGATACAGATGCAAATACTCATCTGATTTGCATAAAGTGCCGCTAAATAAAAGCTGATGTTGGGCTGCTTTGAAGGGTGTTGTGCAAAGAAAGAGCAGAACACACTTTTGTAGCTGTGCATTCATTTAGCCTAATGGACTTAGCTGATCAAATACATTAAAAGCAAATAATATCACTATTGGATTTAATTTTAAACTCATAAAAAAACACGATCCATCTTGACATTGGTTAATTTAAAAATCACACTGGAGAGAGAGTCTAAAAGTCAAGGAAACACACTCAGGCAGGAGGCCACAGCTGGAAATAAAAGGTGAAGCTGTGTGGAAAATATCGGGCTCCTCTTGTGTTGTGTAGCCTAATTTATGATGCATCTTCTAATTTGCATGTGTGTGCATTTCCATTCACTCCTTCCATATTTTGAGGATCCAAAAAAGAACGCCTCGACTACATTTCACATAAGACCAAACACTCAATTTTCAGTGGTGCTTTCCTTCCATCTTATCTGTCCAAAACCTTGGAGTGGTCCTTTAAAAGAACACAACTTTGATTACAATGACACGTAATTTATACTAATAAAAAAAAAAAAAAGGGTTGTGACTCTTACAAAGCACGAGCACCTAAAAATGTAAAGATGCACTGAATGACCCACGACATATTTGAGTGCTGATAACATCACTGATATGGTACAATCAATTTGTTTTTAAGTTTCTGTGGTAGAATATTTTTAAATCTCTGTTTCTAAGGGAGAAGAAGAGCTGTAATGACTGGTGCAAAATTAAAATAGATAGCAAGATCAACAGAAAAATACAACCTTGTCATCTACTGCACTCTGTTATCTCAGGTCCCCTCCATTTTCATTATAATCTCTTCTCAAGGTTGTAGCCATAAACTAAAATAACATTATCACAGCTAAGAAAAAGTCTTTTTTTCTTCACTCGTCAAAGTCACCCACGCATATGCTGCCTCTCTACACTTTCCTCCCCAAACATATTTTGCAGCTTTTTGTACACCACTAAAACTGTTAATTAAAAATGTACACAGTTCATCCACCTACTTTCTTCCTAGTTCTTCTAATTTGCCTTAGCTACAATACATTCCATTATTAAACCAAGTTAATTATCTGTGTTTAAGGACTGTATACAGACGTTGCAGCCAAAACCCATCTCTTGAGTTTTATTGCCTTCCTAATGGGTTCCATTGGCATGGAAACTGTCAAATTTGAAGATACTGAAAATGTAATTACTGAATATCTTTTTAAGAATAATAGCTATTGGCATCTCAACCCAAGGATATAAAGTATAAGATGGCAGATTGCAAACACAGCAAACTGTTGTCTCAGTTAAAACCCACAGGCCCTACGTTAAGCTCACTCACCCAGGCTTTTGGGCAGCAGATTGCGAACAAATTCATTGTGGTCTCCCACATGGAGGATGCTGTAGACACTTGATGTCATCAGCTCCTCCTGGGTGTATCCAAGGTAACTCGTCACGTTCTCAGAAACAAAGACGATGCGGCCCTCCCGGTTGACGACGAAGAAAAACCCATCAAGGGCCTGAGTGAGCAGGAGAGCGAGCAAGAGTGGAGTGAGGCAGAGTAAAACATTATCAGATTATGTGTGTTTTAGACGGAAGTAAACACCGCAGCCGTAGTGATGGGGAAGAAATGTTACGGTGTATGTTTTGTTTACCTCTAGCAGCATGGGCCCCAGTGCCTCCTTCTCCACCAGCCCCTGGCTACTGGAGGAGATGTCGCTTTTCTGCACCTCGTCATCTGGAGATAGAAGGGCTGCTTTTTCTGTCAGGGGGAAACAAACTCAAATTAGAATTGTGCACTACAGATATAGAACTGTCAAGCAGAATGTATTTTATAAATAAGTAAATAATAAAATGTATATACATTCATACAACCCATACCCTAAATAAGCGATTGACATAATTTTTTCAGTTTTATTTAAAGGGCTTTTTACACATAAACTTGGGTAACAATTCTAATTATGATATTTTCAAGAGGTTTAAATTGCTGGGGTCAAAATGAACCCAAGAATAAACGACGTCAGTAAATTTGAAGGTAATAGGAGGGTTAAGGTGTGTCTTTGTCTTGTTTGTCTTTAAAATGGAAATGAATGTGTAAAATATAAATATATAATCTGAGCAGAACAAAACTTTGAATGAATATTTCTCCTTAAAGAGGGGCGCGATTGCAGTCCATAAATACACTGTTTTTCATGAATGTCATGAAAAAAACTAAGTTTAAGTGTCCTACATTATGTACGGCACATTAAACAAGAGATCTGAGGCATAACGTGAAGTATAACAAATCACACAAGAAGTGAAGTGTCCAAACTTGTTGATAGCAGTACATGTGGTCGAGCTTCTCACTGCCCGGTCTGGTGTGTGTTCCCTCACCCTGCTCACGCCGTTTGATCTGCTGGATTTGGTCCACGGTGCTCTTGAGGATGTGGCATTTGTCGGGCTTGACACTGAGACTGGCAATATCGCCCATGTTCGATGACAGCAGCTCGGCCAGCTCCTCGATGTAGCGGCACTCCAGCTCCCGTCTCCGCTTCTCCAGGCTGCGGAAAAGACACATAAAGGGACCAAAAAATGAGACTCACATTGACACGGTCCTTTCTGAAGTAACACAAGGGAAATTAATTGAAATATTTGATTTTTTGTCAACAATAATTAGCTGCGTTTCCTCAGCTAATCATCTGGTGTATACATATATATGTAAAACAGATTTCCCTGGACAAAAGATAATTATCTTCAATTAGCTTTAACCGTCCAAACCCCAAAGCTATTCTGTTTACTGTGATAAGAAACAAAGAAAAGCTGCGCACCAATTGAAAATAGAAAATCATCAGATGTTGGGCATTTTTGCTTGAAAGCTGTCTTAACTAATGAGCGATTCACGAAATATATTAACAGTTTCAGCTCTACAAAATGCACCGCTTAATACTACTATACTTGACCACATTGTTTGCACAAATCTGGCACATTATAAAAGTGACAATGTGGCATGAAGCGAGATTATTGTATTTGTTACAGTGGTTATATAATTATCACATATGAAAGAGGAAAATCATAAATCAAAAAAACCAAACAAACAAAACATAAAATGAAATAATGCAGATAATACTCATTAAAGTGAAAGAACAAATCACACAACACAATCCGAGAAGTGTAATAATCCCTGAAAGCAAGAGACACGACTACTGCTATCTAATGGACCTTTTCAAACTGTTGGCTGTGAGTGACAGGATACAGAGAAAAATGGGAAGCTGATCAGAAACCAGGAGGATGTGCACAGACAATAATAATCTTAATAATTCATGTTGTACAAGAGATCCTGCTGAGTGAAAAACCTGCGGGCCAGGAGGGGAAACTGCTGATAGGAAGAAGATGGAAAAGAAGAAGAGAGAACTTTAATGTAGCTAAAATAATTAGTCAACTAATCGATTCGCTGACTGATGAAAAATTAAACAGCTACTACAATCCTGCTGAAGTGAAATTCAATGGTACGAGCTTCTTAGATGTGATTATTGTCTGGTTTTCTTAGTCTTCTATGAGAGTAAGCGTGTGTGTTTTCAGACTTTTGCTGCCGAATTCTTTCCATGTAATCGCACAACAGAAACAAACATCTTCAATCAGGAGTTTTTAAATGTGTTTTAATAGAGAACTGCAACTAACGAGCACTGAGTAGATTGTTTTTCAGGTGGAATAAAAACACCTAACCAGTCTGTTTTACCAATCTATGTCACGTAAACACTGTTTCTGAATTACTTTTAACATACATTTAATGCTTTTATTGTCATATTAAATGTGTTGTACTGGAGTATTTACAGTCTACTTCTTCCAATTGCTTCACAAAAGTGGAAAAACTGAAACTTATTTCAAATTTTTTTTAATGTCTTCTTAAACAACAGGTGGTTTAAATTATTAGAGATCACATTTACAAAATAAACTGTGAAATGTGCAATTCAAACTGCTGCGTTACTGCAGAGCTTTTTCATGCAGCTGTGCTAACTGCAAGCTGTTCCCATAATGTGTAACCATGAAACTTGTCATATATTAGTTAGTTAAACACTGGTACAAAAAAATAACTTCAAAGAGCCTCTAAGTTCAGCGTTCTCAGGCTTTTTGCACAGCCTTTCGCTTAACTTTGTTCTTGAGTTCCAACAATATACTTCCAGACTGACAAGTAACAGCATGGTATGTGGTAAACATGAAAAAAAGAAATGTGTGTATATGGGAGTATGTGTATGTGAAACGACAACAGCAAAAGTAGGTCAGTGCATTGGCCAGCCAGAACACACAGGCGTGGTGACCGAGGGAGGGAGGGAGGGGTGAGGAGGGGTGAGGAGGCGGAGGGCGCTGCTGTGTGAAATGCGCAGGTCAGTGGCTGTGTGTAGTTCCTGTAGAAATGCTAGCTGGGCTGTTACATCAGCTTACATCAGCTATTGGTCCTTATAGACTCACACAAACAGTACACTGAGTACATTCACTCCTATGTGCCCTAAGTTAACCCCGACTCCTGACTTACAGCTGTATCTAAACTTAAACCTAAATCACGCTCTGAACCCTGCATTAGCCCCTTGGCAGATTTACTGGATATTGTGCTTCCTCCTCCCATTTAGTCACTCTACACAGCTATACAGTGGAGATAAGTGGCTATTTATGAGGCCAAATGATCACAAGAGGCAACAAAAGGGAGGAGAGCTGCGACAAGAAGACCACACACAAAAATACCTCGACAGAGCTGTAATCAGCACGGAGCGATATTTGAGTTGCTAACCACATGTTTTGGAATCAGTGGGATCTTTGTGAATAACTGTGTGTTTCTAAAGACAACACCTGCAGATCAACAATTGCAGATTTAAACATAATGCTGTTAAGCAGGCACAATGTGTTGTCGTCTCAGTTTTGTGGGTAAACACAGCAGTGTTTGCTAATTAGCACTGAACCAGCTGAAGTAGATGGCATCGGATAGGCAGGTATTTGTTCAGACAATACATTTTTGCCATGATGATGGCCCAAAATGAGGAGATAAAGGTGAAGTGTGTGATTCTAATCCAACCTCCATCCGTCTCCTCACAGTCCACTCGCTGTCTGTTCTGTGTGCTGAAACTAAAAGCTGTATTCATATATAGTCCAGGCTCTACAAATGGGAAACAAACCAATTGGATCGGACTGAATAGACCAACAACACTATTCCAGGTTGTCGTGTGAATGTACATGCTTGTGGTTATGCACAGGACTGGGGGAAAGGGAGGGGAGATGGGGGGACAGGGGGCACTGGGAGTGAGAGGAATGGCTAATCTGGAACATGTTCAATATCTAAATAGCTAAAAATCTAAATTCTTTCTCCAGAATCACTGACTCCACCCTTTAAGGCATCATCAAAATAATTATCCTGTAGTTAGACATGAACGTCTGTGTTAAGTTTTACAACAGTCAATCCGGTAGGTGTTGGGATCTTTCACTCAAAAATCATTCATCCTCTTGGAACCGTAAACACAACATTTTTTTGTCCCCCATCCAGTGGTTGTGAAGATATTTAAGCACGAACCAAAGTGGTGTTTACTGACTGGCTAAGCCACCCCAAGAGCCCTGATGCCAGTATTCCATAATGAACTAACATAATTAGCAATAAAGATACATTATTTAGTTAGCTGGCCTCCAGTTGATTCTCCTGGTTGCTACAAATCACTATTTGGTCAGTCAAGTGCCAAAAAATATAGAAAGTGAGCCCCTGCAATTCTCGTTTTTAGAGCTTGTTTCCACAGTGTGTCAAGCTTCTGTCATTGTTAGAACAAAAACCATGGCTGGGTCTGTACCTTTGCCCTGACGTGTCGCATGGTGAGCCCTTCCTCTTGCGTGACTCTGGCGTGGCAGGGTCCAGGGGGCTTTCCCCTACTGCACTCATTTTCAGCTTCAACTGACCTGTGGAGGACAAACACACGGTGAGTCAGGAAGAAGGCAAGTATAACCATTACAATAAATCCCACAGTTCAACTGTTCTTTGAGACATTTTGACAAAGTAATACAGCTTTATTTACTTTTTTCCCCCCAAAAATGCCAAACACCTTGCGGCTGATGGACCAGCTTTCCACAGAGAAATTGTGTGTTTTTCTTGGGGCAAGTTTCTGTTATTTCAAGTGCAATTCGAAAATATTTTGCCTTTAATACAAATGTACAGCAAGCGATATAATATACACTATATGAACAACATTTCATTGGGACATAATGCCAGTGAGACGATTTGTTAGTGCATAAGAACGAAAACAGTATACAGTATGTCACAAAAGTGAGTACCCCTCTCACAGTTCTACAAATATTTTATTATATCTTTTCATGGGACAACACTGAAGATCTGACACTTTGCTACAATGTAAAGCAGTCAGCTTGTATAACAGTGTAAAATTACTGTCCCCTCAAAATAACTCAATACACCCATTAATGTATAATTATGTCTAAACTGCTAATAACAAAATTGAATACACCCCTTAGTGTGACATACTGTATACTGTTAATCTGTGTAGGAGACTAGCACTCAAAGAAGTAAAAGTGATTCGTCATAATGGACAACGACACCAATCTTATCGGTTACTGTACCAGTAGCAGCGCAACGTATTTGTACTACGATCAGTGTGGGGCTGTAGTGTCGCTACAAGTAGCAGCATTACTAGCTTAACTACATTTCGCAGTAATTTAGTGGTAACAGCACTGATTTCAGAATCAAATCTCTTTTCAGTAGCAAAGCACTTTTAACCCTCAAGTATTGCAGTAGCATCCACACATTTTCACCAGCATTTCTAAAGCGACAAGCTGACCTTCCAGTGCACTTTGAAATAAAAATAAGGATGTGATGCTAAGAGAAGCACTTCCGTATGACAATGACACCACGTAGCAGTCATCAGTGCAGTCTGCAAACAGTGAGCAGCCTGTTTACTAGCTAGCTCACAGCTACATGTTTTTTGATGTCTGTAGACAGCAAATCAATCAACTTTTTTTTTTTTTTAAACGAAGGAAAGCATAAATGAAGTAGCTTCTAATGTCGTTAACTACTTTTGCCATGATGGTGCAGCTTAGCTTGCTACAGTGTAGTGAAGCTTTATTTAACGTAGTACAACTGGTAGCCTAACTCACAACACCTTTTAAGAAGCTTGCATAACACTGATTACAACATTACATATGACTGTCAGTAAAGTGGGACACTATACATTAGCGCATCATAGCACCTTCACACAATCAGAAACCACACAATTGCTCCCAAAACATCTCTGAATTTGCCTGTAGGGCAGATTTATGTTGTTTGTTCACTGTAGAAAAATACACATTGCATTGAGTTTAAAAAGTACATATATTTTATAATTTGCTTAGGATTTGAATTTAAAAAACACAGCTAGAAAGGATGCACAAAGTAATATACAGTAAATTCCAGTACAGTCTGTGCCAGCAGGTCTGCAACAAATCCTCGATTTGGTGCTGATTCAACTCTGCAGTAATTTTCCACATTTAGTGTGTGTGGTGCTGTTTTGAATAGCCTCGCTAATATGTTGTCTTTCATGTTTGTTGCATTCCTCTTCTATCTGCCCTAATAGGTTTATTCTTTATCTGCAAAGTCTACAGTCTGCATCTCTCTCTCTCTCTCTCACTGCATCAGGATGGTAGCCCTGGCAACTGAAAACGCTGAAACAACTGCTGAAGCACATTGTGTAGAGAGGAGAGCTAACAGGGTTCCTGCATGATCTATTAAGCCAAATATTGAAGTTAAAGCCTTGCTGATGCCATAAGAAATTTAATTTAAGAATACCATAATAATCTAAACAAGCAGCAAATAACCGTGTTTTTCTGGCCTGAAACAGCAAATGACCGCTGAAATGTTTACTACCAGAAAAAAACACAACAACATCAACACAATGGATATGATTAATGTCATGTTAATCAGTGTTTTACAGACTGTACATATCGTATTATCATAAAGCATATTATGTTTCTTTACAAAACAAAGACTTCTGAAAAAATCAGAGCGACACGGCTGAATGTGAAAGCTTTTTATTTCCTCATGTGGGAACTGTAAACTTCCTCGCTAGGAGGCAAAAATGCACATATGACAAAAGATGAGCTCAAGCCTCTTAATCCATAAAACCACATCCATGCCGTGTTATCTAAATAAAAATCTGTGAAGCACGGACAAAACAGCAAACCACAAACACAAACAAAAACCTTTAAAAATCCATCAGCAACCCAGCGCAAAACAAGCCACCATTGTCACGAGTATTGGGTGCTGCTGCAAGGCCATGCTGCTCGCAGGACGCTAATCCTTCCTGACTAGGCTTGTTTACATTTCACCTCAGATCACCCCTCTCCTCCTCGGCTCTCCTTGTGCTGCTCACACACAGCACAAAAAAGATCCGTCCGCCACAGCGAGAAACGAGAGCGCCGCTGCACATCAGCACTCAATGAAAATACAAATTAGCCTACTTTCTGACAGGCTGGGCTCAATGTATGTTTAATATAAAAGCTGTAAGTAGATGCAAGTTCAGGAAGCAAAACACTGAAACCGCACCAATTAGGTGAGGCAGACATGGCAAAGAGGACTATGGTTTGCGTGTGTGTGAGAAGGCCTGTGTGCACTGTAGGAATTGTGTGGGTACGTAAATAATGTAATGATCATTTTCTTTAAACTGTTTGTTTTGCCCATGTACGCGATGGCAATAATACAATAGCACCTCAATATCATTCATCATTAGCATAACCATTTTTGTTTTTTGACACACTGAATACAAACATATTAATACAAAACTGCAGGGAATCTGTCAGCTTTTATTATTATTAATTTGTCAAACTTTTGAACACGAAATCTAAGAAAATACAAAAAAATGGCTGTCACAAACTTTCTAAAGCCATAGCTGACAAAGTCTGACCCAACTAACCAGAAGATATTCAGCATGATATCATCAAAGACACGTAACCAGCAAATGTTAACATCTGATGAGCTGTGAGGTCGACTTTTTACTTAAAAAACTTTCTTGTGTGGGTGAATGATGAATTAATTGATTAATTCTCTCAGTTCTAATGTGAAGTGACAGCACTTGTAAACAAAGGAGAGAGGCTCCGTCTTTCCAGAATGACCTTGCCATCATAATGCTGTTCATTTATGAATGCTGACAAGCCCAAATAATGTGGGTGTATTTCTGGAAATGCATCGACACAATGTACAATTTATTGACAGAAAGAGAACACAAGATACAGTAATTATAGCTGATGATGTACCAAGCAACACCAAATGCATCCACTCAATGCTCTGCACTCCCTAACCCCGTATAGATGGTTTAATTTATAAATTCAAACACATGAACATGCTCTAGCTGTGTGTTTGTACTGTCAAAACACATCTAACAAGCCATTTTCTCATTGACTGAAGCAATGTGTTAAAAGTTAGTGCATATAGCTGATAAGCTGGCCAGGCGTGCTCAACAAGCCATCATCATGTTTCTGGGCTTTCCTGTTCCCCGACCATTGTGATCATGAACAACAGTTTCTCCCATCTGGTGAGTGTTTATGATCAACGCTGCCTCATTACTGTTAGGAGCAAGCTCTCTTTCCACACCCCAACAAAGTCATGCTTTAAAAGGTAATAACAAAAGCTGACAGGATGGGGTGAGCCTGATGTGTAACTGCAATCTACTACGTGCATACATATAACGTCTTGCAGTGCTCACAATCACTCAAAGTAGTGTGACGAAGGATTCTGATTCATTCATCCATCCAT